TTCTATCACGATTATTGCGATGCATTGCAATATTTTCTCCTCCATGTTTTGTTTCTGAATGACTCAGCGCAATATCCCGCGGCCGGAAATGCTTGTGACACAAGGCAGCGTGCGTCAACACATCCGCAGCGACATCTACTGGACTGGAAGTTGTATAACACTTGTTTTTGGCTGATGTTCGCCAACCATTCATGCAATTTTATTTATTAATTTTTTAAAATTAATAATCGATACTTGGCGTCAAGAATCGATGCAGTAGATCACGAAAATTAGAATCACGATGCATCATCATGACGATTATTTTGCACACCCCTAATAGAAATTGTAACTGATTGGTCCCTTGGATAAATAATATTTTGGGGAATTCACAGGTCTACTTTAACAGTAATTTATAAATAAAGGTGTTGCACTTTTAGATAAGATTTAGATCTTATTGAGATAAGATTTCAATCTTCATCTGCTAGATCAGATCAGAACCTCCAGATCCACGAGTGGCTTTCTGGCTCTCTTTATATAACAAATGATAAACTACTGCCCTGTTTTTCATTTTCTGTTCTATTGTTTTGCTCTGTGCCCCAAACTGCCCCCCTGGTAAAAAGTGGTCTGGAGCTTCCACTGAGACTGGCTTACCCAAAAAGCCAGCTTCAGATTAGACGTCCTTTGAGCCAACCTACAGCCAATGACTCCTGCTCTCTTGGAAACAAGTGTTGTCACTAATGTTCCTCTCCCTCCTCATTGCCAGTGATCCTGCTTCCCTCAAAATTGGTTTATTTTAGCCCTGCCTGTTAAAAAGTCGCCATGACTTTTTGTGACTCTTCTGACACTTGTTTAACTGCTCCAAATAAAAGAGACAACACTTTGAAGAGGAACGTAGCACGAGGGCTGGATATCAACCTCTTCTTACACTTTATCATACTCCACCTCAGCTTACAATGTATGCATAACAGGATCCTGTTAGTGGACTTTCGCCCAGGTTTTAACAGTCAATGGGTTGATGCAATCAGCTGGGTTCCCTTAGACAGAACTTTTTTAAACTAATCTGATTTGATTGAATTGTCTCTGTAAAGCACATTGAAATGACATGGGTTGTGATTTGGCACTACAGAAATAAACTGAATTGAACTGAATTAAATTAATCAGAAGTGTAACTGTGTCACAATCCCGGCCTCCACCTGTCGGTGGATCAGAAGGTGCCTGACTGGCAGTGGTGAGTGAGGTTGGCGTTCGTACTCTCCTGCCCAAAAACCACCAACATCGTAGTTATCTACCACACCGCCATCATTTAGCTTTTTTATGTACATCCATGTCTGTGTAATCTGTCTTATCTACAAAAAAAGAACAGACCCAAATTACCACAAACAATGAGGTCTACAGAGACAATCATTGGGACTGATCACCCCTAGCCTGACGTAGTCCGACTCAATTCTAGTCAGAATATGAGTCTGATACTGCTCCATAGAGCTGTGATTATGGGGCGTGTTTCGAACGAACCAGGAAAAAAATGCCTCTGCACTCAATTGGATAGACCTACAACCAATAAGAGCAACGGAGTGCGTGACGTATGTTAAGCGAGGCATAGTTGTTGTCCACAAAAATCAAAGCGTGCAGTTGCACGCCTAGAATAAGAAGATGAGCCTTGATCGCGTTTCTCTGTTCCTCTTTTAAAATTAATTTGCTGTCCAGACCTAATAGCAGAATCTACTCACCTAAACTCTCCAGCGGCAGCCATTATTGTTGTCACCCAAGCGCGCATTGGTCACGTGGTTGATTACGTTACTGTTGGTCATCTGTCCATCATCGTATAAAGCCCGCCCTGACAATTTGATTGGATCGCCTAACAGTGGGCGATAATACTCGTGCTACTATGGAGCAGAGCCAGACCGAACTTCCCCGACCTCAAACTTTGTGGGCGGGACTAAGTTCGGAATGGCACCCAGGCTAGATCACCCCTCCATCTATGACCTGTATAAGGCCAAAACGAGCACCTAAGATCAACCCTACACATCCAGGAAAGCGCAACAGAGTACTAATGGCAAAAATCAACATGGAGGCAGTCTCTCTGTTGAAGTTAATTAACACCGTACAGCTACTTCCTTGCAGAGCACTCCAACACCCTGGTAGAACAATTGAGGCATGTGCAAGTCAACCTTCCTTCCCTTTAACATTTACAAAAAAAATACCCTACATTTCTACATATTCCTTTAATCCTTATCATACCACATTAATGAAAGATTTTTACATAGTGCGGATGTTAGTGTATCATGGATTGTGATGTGAGTGATGGAACAGCAAAGTGAAATTTCTTTTATGTGCACACAAACTTACATTAAAGTTGATCTTATTCATTAAACCTGTTGGCCAGTGTGGATGCATTAAGTTACTTCAAACTTGAGGACTAAGTCCAAGGCATAGGGGCTGTGGAATCTACAGAGCAGCAGTCCACAGGGTAGGAGCTAACAGCTGAGCGGCAGACCCTCACAGATGGAGATGCCTGCTAACTTAGCCTATATGCACCGCGGAGCGTTATCACAGATCCTTCCTCCCAGCAGCTGTAAGACTTTATATTAACCACTGCTGCCAACAACCTCAACCAATTCAATTAAATTCAAATCAATTTATTTATATAGTGCCAATTCACAACACATGTCATCTCAATGCATTTTATAGTTCACCAGATCATACAGTCAAATTGATTCAAAGTTTTCTATCTAAGGCAATCCCTCACACTAAGCTTGTAGCGACAATGGAGAGGAAAAACTCCCTTTTAACAGGAATAAACCTTCAGCAGAACCAGGCTCAGCGCGAGTGGCCATCTGCTGAGGCCAACTGGGGTTCAAGACAGAAACAGAAATACAGAAAGAAGCAGGGATACAAAAAGCAGCTGTAAAAGGTGGCCCCGTCCAGGAAACACACAGCCAGGCAGACGAGCTTCAAGCCATCTCCCATGTCAGAGGATGAACAGAGCATATCCAGCCACTCACGGTCAGAGAAACAGGACTACACTGGAAAACAGGCCAATCTCCAACATCGATAAACAAAGGTGTTGATGGCAGCAGCACAGCTGACCAGATGAAGGAACAGACCAGACAAAGCTACTATGACGAAAAAAAATCAGAGAGAGCATAACGTTAGATTGAACTAACAGATTCTGTAGAGTGGGAGAATAGAGATAGAATGAAGCAGAATGATGAAAAAGTGATACCTACTGTATGTCCTCCAGAAGTCTAAGCCTATAGCAGCATAACTATAGAGATATTTTACTTCTAGAAATATTAGGAACCACTGGTAAACCTGCAGATTGAGAGCAAAGTGCTCTGTTAGGAACAATCATATAAGATGGATTTAGGCCATTTAACGCTTTATATCGAGGAGGATTTAAAATTCTACTCTTGATTTAACAGGAAGCCAATGAAAAGAAGCCAGGATAGGAGAGATATCATCTCTCTCTTTAATTTTAATCAGAACTCTGGCTGCAGCATTTTGGATCAGCTGAAGGCTTTTAACTACAGTTTGTGGACTTCCTGATGGTAAAGAATTACAATAGTCCAGCCTTGAAGAAACAAATGCATGAACTAGTTTCTCAGCATCACCCCTGGACAGGAACCAGAGCCTTCAACCTAAGGTCCAGACTATGGTGATATGCTGGGGTTGAGCATCCTCACCAGGCTGATTAAGGTGAGGGTCCACTATATAGAGAAATAGCAGACAGAATCCAGTACTGTCTGCAGTTTAGACAATCACCTCACCAATGGTGGACTTGTGCACCTTTTTAGCACATGGCTCTGAGAGCTAGCAAGCAGCACTATTGCTAGGTTTCCAAGAGTCAACCTGGAACGTCTCCTCCACCCTTTTTGGCATGTGCTGGGTATTTTTACTTCATGTCTCTTCATGACTCCTGAGCAGGCACATGATGCAGTATTCACCTTCATAACTGGACAAATAACTGCAGTCAGCTAACCACTGGTGTGCAGAACAATACAGACTATGTCTTCTTTCTATTCTGTTAACATTCGTAGTAATATCTTGCAACTTGTCAGTGAAACACAAGCTAAACATTAACGGTTTCCAAAGTTAACCCGACCAATTGTTGAATCATGGCATGCTGACAAGTCAATTTAGCCATCGGATTCTGGGGTATTGAAGAAAAAAGCTGCAGCATAATTCCAGGACATGTCCTGGGTTGAAAAGACCCTTTTAATTGATTAGATAGGTAAGGCGAGTTAAAAATGCATCCATTGTTAGCCAGTGTATTAGAAACTCATGTAGCATGAAGTACCAGAGAAAAAAAAAAGTATTTGAAATCTTTTTTTTACCATTCGGTGCTAATTCAAGTTTACTTAACTCAAATATGTTCACAATGTTTTTTTCATTTTGTGATACAGCTGATCTATAGGCCCTAAGGCTCCCAAAAAGTCTGACTTTTCTTTGGTTTTATCAAAATTCAGGTCTTTGCATATTATGTAAATTTGTTTTGTGTATATAAATCCTAAATTAAAACTCATTACCCTGATCATGGTGCAGGTTGGGTGTTTTCGCAAAAATAAAACCAATTCACGCTCATAATAGTAGTGGCAACCTGAAACATTACAGAAACCTAAACATCAAACAAAATGGTACACTAATAAAAAATAAGTACTCATATGAAGCAAATAATCTAAAGGACTGATGCAAATAAGATTGCATCATATATAAAATCTCCCTAAACCTTTCAGTGAGGTCTCCAAGTACCACATGGGTCTTGGCGTATAAGAGAAGTGAACGTTTTCTGTGTAATGACAACTGATTTTTATAGCATTGTGCTTTTAATAAACCTAAATTTTAACAAAAAACTATAGAGCAGTAAATTGACAGATGGGTCACTTAAAATATCACATGTGGTCATGTATAAAAATGTATGAAGTAAATAAAAGAATATATGCATATCCTTGAACAAGTGAACTGGCTTAGCAGCTTAAAAACACCTTTTAACAGAAAGAAATACTCCTTTTTGGCACAGACTGTACTTTGAAAGATAGGTTCTTATTTGTTCACTGACTTTTCATCTGGTCATACTGCTGCTAGAACTGAAACAACAGCAGACCCCAAAATATGCACATACTTGATAACCCCAACAGTCTTAACATTTCACAACAACTGAAGAAACAGGCATCGGTTTAATGTTTTGGATTGTTTTTTTTTCTTCTTTTCTTTGCAACATTTGATACATCTAGAGCACTGGTAGGTGTGTCAGTATTAAATGGGAAGGATGGATGAGTAAAAAGAAAAAAGGTTTAATAAACAAAGAGCATATTGTTTAAGTGTGGACAAAAGATCTAGATCAGAAAATAAATATTTTTTCCTCTCCATTAAAAAAGAACAAACAGAACTGTGTGCCTTCGTTGTCCCAACTCTCTCAGAGGCACTGAGAAAAAAAAAAAATGGAGATTCACTTTTTTTTTCTTAAAATGGGCATGCAGTCCACAGGGTCACAGGACCCTCCTGAAGACAACCCTGCGGAGCGATAGCCATTCACATGTCGGTCGTTGGGTTGAAGATGAAAATGGTGAACGTCCACGAGAGCAAAAGATTGAAAGACCGATCCCTCAGGACACCTTTTAATCTAACTGGAACGGCTGCTTTTCTCTTCCTTTATCTAGGCCACATAGTTGTATTGGTTGGAGTTTTCCTTGTCGCGCTCCATATAGTCCCGGTCAATAAGAGACTCTATCCTCTTCTTTAGGTCAGCAGGCTGGAAAGGAAGAGGACAAAGAGACAGAGGGTAACATAACGCATAGGCAAGCATTTATTTTGTTGTTTAGCTCAAATGTTCTTCGACTTTCCCCAGAGAAACTTTTATAAAAACTGCTTCGAGACGAGTTAGGCTTAAAGCCCACCTGTTAGACTAAGTACTCCACGTGATTGCACTGTTCTAAATTATTTAATGAAGGCTTTTCTTAACCTGGTTTTTAAAGTTTAGTTTTTATTGGTACAGTGATATTACGTGTTAGGAAAGACACTTGTAAACATAATGTGTTCTATTATTTCTACAATCTATAATCCGCAGACCCCACTTAGCATATAAAAATAATAATTTTTAAATTACAGTAAAATTAGAAAAAGGGATCATGCATTTTTGTATAAGATTCTTTTCCAAAATAAATGTTTGTGAAAGAATATCGGACATTTAATGAATGATAAAAAATACAAATTCTGCCTCTTCAGCTACATTTATCTTACTTTTATTTTGGCAGCTAAATGGGCACCTATTCAATATTAGGTGGTCATAATATAGTTTAAATATGACTCCCTTTCCTACGTCTCGTTTGCAATTTATTAGCTATAATGTATAAAGTTAAGGTAGTTGGGTATATTTTTGTCTTTGGGTTGGTCTCATTCACATCTAAGTCGATATAACAGCTAGTACCTGGGAATCTGTGTCAGCACTCAATAGTGCCCATTTTTGGTAATTTGCTGATGTCATATCAAACACCAGCCTTATGTACCTGGAGAAGATAAGAGGTGATGATGCAGCTGCCTCAGCAATGTTGCTGGCTACATACGACAAGTTGCTTAATTTTTCCCTAAGCAGAAGCTGCAGCCATAGATCTAAGAATCTTATGCTTCACCAAATTTTATTCCTTTAATTCCTTAAATTAAAAGTATTCCCCATGCTTGCCTTGAACTTCATGTGCCAAATATTGCAGAAATAAAGTGGAGCCATACTCTCTAACAACTTACTTTTGCCATGCTTGCATTGGTTAGTTTAAGGAACTGTTTCTGGTTCCATCACGCTCTTGTGTGTGCAATAATGTGTCTAGTATTAAAAATCACCCACTCTTCTCCTATTGTGTCAAAATTATGTGTTTAAATACTTTTTTTTATGTGAACAGATACCCTGTAGTACCAACATAATCCGTTTAGGACCTTTATAAGTACAGAAATCGGTACCCATCCCTACTTTTGTCATTATCCTTATTTAAGGTATAGTGTAGAATTTTCACAAATTCTTGAAAAGACCTGCCCTTTCAACTTAAAAAAATCAAAAATGAACATGCACAAATCTGTACCCGGTTCCTATTAAACGTGCGAGAGCATGCACGGGCCCATTTCTCCTCGTGCGTGCTCTGTTTAAAAGTAGCTGTTCACATCGCTCATACAATGCGTTGCTTGGGGCCACGGTCACCTAAAGCGACAGTGGCGTTGGGTGCAGGAGTTTTGCAAAGGAGATTTGCAATTTTTCCAGCATGTCAGACTCAACACCGATAAGTGAAAATGGGGACGAGCAAGTAGGACGTCCTTATGTAAACATAATACCACAATTATTGACAATTAGAAGGTCCACTTATTTTGATGACCCACCCGGAAAAAGAACATCCTCCACTATAGCTTTGATGTAAATAGTTGTGGTGTCGATAGCAATGTAGTTTGTTTTTAATTTAACTAACATTTCACTAAAAATTTTAAATTTTACAATATGTTGGTACTTAGATACAAATGCCAACAATAAATCATTAAATATGCTTTATCCCATAATACACATATTTAATTATCCAGTTGTTTTATATTTATGGTATTTATCTAGTACTGTGCCAAGGACTCCACTCTTACATTCAAGTTTCATTGGATGAAACACAAATAAGTAAAATGGAAAATAGAGAAAGGGTAGGATGAACTACCTTGACAGGAAATTTGAGCTGGTTGTACACCTCAGACATCAAAAGATTATGGCTCAGAGTCTTCCTCATCTTCATTATCCGCACAATGGCGGCATCGATCTGGTACTGACGATCTTGAAAAACCCTCTCTGTGGTGCTGGCTTGTTCCTCCACCTAGAAACATTTAATGCCATTAAACTTTTGACTTGGTGCTAAAAAAGAAAACTGCAGAAGGAAACATTAATACCGTCTCTTTCATTTGAATCTGGTTTATTTTGATCCTGAAGAGCTTGTGTTTGAAGTCATCGTTGCAAGAAAATTTGTCTCCATCCTCCACGTCTTTGCTTTTGGGAATCTTGGTTAGAACCCGGGCTTTTCCGCATGCGAGTGACTGCAACGTCCGACGCAGTTCGCTGTCCTCTGTAAAACCCAAAGAGCTACTCTTCAGAACACTTGATCAACATTAAAGCAGGAGGCTTCAAAGAAAACGTTATAACAAACCTATTCCTGTAGCTACTTTGATATCTTCAAGAGTGAACTCCTCTCCTTCATTAAACATCAGCAGCACAAGTGTTTGAAACAGCGACACCTGCAGCTCTTTTTTGCCCTTTTAAAAGAGAACGTCCGGAAAAAAAGAAAAAAAAAGTTAATATCGTTAGACATTTCTAAGAGCTTTAAAACAGGAAGAACATTCTAGGAACAGTTAAGAACCTCTTTGAATTCTGCTTTTAAGACGCAGTGACCTAATGTTGATTGCCACTGCAGCTTCCTGCCACTGTGTTTGCCCAGGTAAAAGGTTTTGAAGATCTCCTGCAGCCGCACCATCTGGACAAAGATAACACAGGTCATAACAAAGCATATTTATAGCATGAGGCTGTATATATATATAAAAAAAAAAGACAATGTTCAAAGCATTTGAGTATTTCAGCACTCACCTCAGGAGGCAGGTGGACTTCCATGGGCACATAAGTTGGCCAGTAGCCCATAGTGAGGATGTTGACAGTTAGCTCAATGTTGCCAGGAATGTTTTGGCACTGCATGTACTACAGAGGGACAGACACACAGTTTATGTTGCTGCCATCTACAGCACAAATTTAGCTCAGCAACATTTTCCCAGTTCGAATGCTGTTAATAGAGCACGGTTTGCCATCTGCAGCAGGACTAGAGGACAGGCTTAAAAACAAAACAGAATCAGCTGCAGGCTGATTGAGTCAATCTGACGTGTGAGAAAAAACAAATAAGGGGTTGAGGGTAAGATGGTAAGGAAACAAAGCTGCCTGAATTAGAACTGCAGGAATTTATGCTATTTTTTAATAAAACATATTCATTTGTAAAAAGTAATTGAGCTTCAATTAAGTTAAATTAACTAATTGAGTATCAAATAAAACAGGAGTGCATTTCTATAAAATCTAACTTGATTTGCTTTCTGACAAATACAGATTGTACAATGTGGTGCAAAATGATGTACACCTTCAAGATTTTCTCACTTTAAAACAATAGCTTATGCCTATTTAAGTGGAATGTGAGTTGATAAAGAATCACAAAGAAGTGCATAATGTCAAAGTGGAAGAAATTATTTTAATACTTGTTCTCTACCAATAAATCTTGTTGCATTTTGTACAGAAGATGGCTAATCTGTTAAGTGGTTTGTTTCAATAATCAATGATGATCTATTGTCCACCATAAACAATATATTATTCCTTTAAGGAATAAGGTCCAACATTACTTGGGACCTTTCAAGCATTTTGGGCGTTCCAAAGTAACCAGCCTTGGTGTCACAGACTGCGATTTTAAACTAAACAAATAAATAAATAGCGTTTTAAAATCGTGTTTTTATCATCTCTGTCTTTTATCTAAGGTAAAACCGTTTTTATCTTTTAAACTCTTCAAGCAGGTTTTACACTCTTATTTCCAGTCGTCTGGACTACTGCAATGCACTTTATTCAGGCATTAGCCACCGAGCTCTCTCCCGTCTGCAGTTGGTCCAAAATGCAGTGGCTCGTCTTTTAACAGGGACCAGAAAACATCAACACATTAAACCAGTTCTTACATCTTTGCACTGGCTCCCTGTTCATTTTAGAATTGATTTTAAGATTTTATTGTTTGTGTTTAGAGCCCTGAATGGGATGGCTCCTCAATACATCACTGATCTCCTCCAGGTTTATTCTCCGGCACGTGCTTCGAGGTCTGACGGCCGTCTTCAGTTAACAGTGCCTAAGACGAGGCTTAAAACTAGAGGGGACAGAGCCTTTTCTGTAGTTGGCCCAAGATTTTGGAATACTTTGCCCCTCCATATACGGACTGCCTCCACTGTGGAGTGTTTTAAGTCTCGTCTTAAGACCCACTTTTACTCTTAGGCTTTTAACAATGTGTAGTTTGTGTGGTCCTCTGTGTCCTTTTTATTTATTGTTGTATTGTGTTTTGCTGTGTTGTTGTTTATTATTTGTTATGTACAGCACATTGGAAACTTTTTCTATTGTTAAATGTGCTATACAAATAAAGTGGATTGGACTGGATCCTCTATTGTCCACTATAAACAATATATTATTCCTTTAATTGTCAGCCTAGCAGTTTAAAGTGGGCAAGTCTGTCAGAAAGTAACGGGCAGGAGCAGAAGTCCAACAAGACTAAAATCAAGCTCTTCTTTTGTCGGAGTAACTGTTAGACGCTGGACTTGGAGCAAAACTAACACTATAAATGATGATAAACACAGAAACATTGTGGTGGCAGCATATATTTATACTTCAGGTCAGAAAAGAGGTTCATTGTTAAGCGTTGATAGGATACTGAGAGAAAACCTGCTAGAGAATGCCTAAACCCTGAGACTGGGGTGGAGTTTAAGCGTCCATATGCACTACTACCCTACACATTCTGACAGAGTAACACAGTGAAAATCTAGGCTCAGCATGGACCGTTTACCGCTTTCATAGTCACAGGTTTAAAAAAAAGGCTGTCGTTTTCAGACCACCATTAATGCATTTTACTTTATTTTTTTTTTTTAAACTTATCAAAGAGACAACTCAGGTTGTGGGCAGCTGCAGCATCATGACCCTCCGCTGTCAGTAGAGATTATACTAAAGATCAGCCCTTTATTCAGCATGAATATTTTTTTTCTCATTTAATTTAGACCTTTTCAGAAACAGAGATGTAATCAAAATACCTTGAAATCATATTGCACTGCCCATATCAAGTCCAGACCTAAACCCAATTTACAATCTGGGGAATAATTTAAAATCTAAACAGACACCACAGTATACAGATTTTTTGTCAGGAGACATAAAGAACACAGCACTTTCTATGTATATTTAACTGTAAATAAAGGTATGTGGTGTGTTATGGTTAAACAATTGCAGATAAAGCAGCAATAAGAAGGAAGGCCTAGATTGGTTTGTAATGCAAAGCATCTGCACCTGTTTGAACTGCACCATTATGTCTTTAGAAAGCTCCATGTCCTTGAACATTCCCTCTAGTTTGCTGGTGAACGCTGCTCCACATTCTGAGGAAACAACAACAAAAAAAAGTCAGCAGTCGATGTGCAATATCCAGTCAGTGTTAAGTTTTTTTGTGTTTTTTGTCATGGTGTGGAAATCTGGGTTCAACTGACCATGTTTCAGCTTTGACAACATTGATTTTTCAGCATCCACCGAGGCACTTTTCCCAACCAGCAACCTCTTAGCCAGATCCTTTTTGTAAAAAGCCTCAAACACATCTTTTCCTACAAAAAAAAAACATATCGTTAAAGAACAGATTCTCTTATAAAATGGGGGAAAATAAAACAAAAAAATTTTAAGAGCAACATTTAAGTACCATATATAAATCTAAATATTATCATGATCTTATCCAGCATCTTCTCCAGTTCCTCATCGGTTGCTTCTTTGTTTCCCGCCCTCAGCTTTGAATCCACATGCTTGGCTGAAAAAAAAGATAAACAATTAGAAAACACAAACTCCTAGGATGGGGTCATGATGACAGAAGAAAAAGTCACCAACTAACCGATGAGCTCTGCGGGTTTATTTGGCCGTTTGTTGATGAATGTCTCAAAAGCCTCCTTCATGGCATTAACAAACTTCTCATTTTTCAAGAAGCACACATCAATGATGTGATCCACCTTATCTTTGAAGTCCAGCAGCTCTTGCACCATTGTTTTGTCTTTCTCAGGGTTGATTACGATTGTGCTTCCAAATGCCTGCATGTGGAGTTGATGGGACATTAGAAGAAGATACAGAGAGTTAATAGTAAAGCAATGTTAGGGTCCATCCCCTTCGTGGTCCTCCATCTTATCTTGTCATACCTTTATGTACTCTATCCAGTGCTGCAGGAGCACCTGAACACCACCACGGACTCGATTAAAGAGCTGGTACAGGAGAGACAGATCCTGAACTCTGTTCTCATCCAACACGTGGGTCAGCCCTGTGAGGTTCCAACAAAAACACATTATCACATATCATCACAAGCCTGGTTGATGATGGTGGTGCCTCAAGATAATCATAACTTCTTCACATTCTGTCAAGTGCCATCTTCTGTGCATTTCATTGGGATTTAAAGTGATAGATCACAAATATTTTAAATTTTTTTTACAGGTGAAAATCTGTAAATTGTGGAAAAGATTTGTTTTCAGCCTCTCCAAGTAGCACATATTTCTTTTGCACCAGAATCCTCTTATTTAACATTCGGCATGTTAAAAAAAAAAGCTTTTAATTTGTAAGAGTGGATGCAAAGCTTGTGTTAACATCCCTTTTTAAATCTAGCCACTGATTCTAAGTTCTTTTAACACTAATTTGCTCTGATTTAAACCATTCCATTAAATCTTTTGCTGTAGAAGTTTGCCGTTTCTGTCCTGTTGGAAATGAACCTCTGCCCAGGTTTATAATCCTTTGCAGCCTTCAACGGGGTTTCATTCAGCTTCAGGTTGCGTCGATTTCAGCCCATCTTGTCTGCCTTCATGTAGGGATATAAACTGTTCACTCTGAACATGTTTTACATGCAGGGTAAAGGTTCAGGTGTTGTCTTATATAACCAGAACACCTTCCAGATGTTTTTTATTTAATAGATTTCTTTCTACTCATTTCAAATAATATTTCTACTCCCTCTTTTTTAAAGCATATAACTAATAAGTATAGAACTTTAAAATATATATGTAATAACAGTTGCCTGTTAATAGTTTTCCCAATCTGAAAACATGTTTTCCAGGATTTTTTCTTCAAAACCCAACACGTTAAAATCTTGGTAGGTTTGCAGTTCTTCTAAACTCTTTCCATTTTTTTATTGGATATAATTCACTAACCTTACCTGCTTTAAACTTCCCACCTAATGTTTTCCTGACCTGTTTTTTTTTTTTCCTGCTCATTTTTCTACTAAATCGAATAGGCCTTAAGATAATAGCTGGATTTAGATCAAGATTTAAAAAAACATACATTGACTTCTTACTAACTGGTCACACCAGGTCCTTTTCTTAAGGGAGTGCAAGTAAAGGGGATTACTTAGAAATCTACACCATACATTTAATAATATTTTTCATTCCAATTTAATAACTTGTTTCTTGTTTAATCCCATAAAATCCATTAAGATGCGACCAAAATGTTCTGGTTGTAAAATTGACAGAATGTGAAAAACATTAAAAATGTATATGTAATAATTTAAGGCACAATAGATTATGGACATTTGGTAAATGGTGAAAAGCTTTTCATCTGTATGGTTTTGTGTAAAAATACTCTCACAGAAGAATACCTTTTTGGAGAACCGCAGTGAGATGTTCCCCCAGCAGCTGCTTCTCTACAGTAGCAATGAGCGGTTTTCTAAGAATTAAATAAAGCTTTGTTTAACAGCTCGATCTAATTTAGCGTCAAGTTGCAAACTAAATGCAGCAGACCAACACTCACTGTGTGCTCTGGTCTAGATATGTGATTACTCTGTCAGCTTCTTCCTCCAGGCGTTTGTTGACATGATGGAGATATTCTGGAACCTGAAGAAAAAAAAAAGTTATTCCAAAACATTAGGACCCGAATTATCAACAAAAATAGAAAATAGGCCCCTGTTTATCCATTTCTGGATAAATATTTAGGTTCTTTATCTGATTTTTATCTGATTCAGTGCATTTTAAATGCAGTGGTGTAGATTCCATTTCATAAGCATCACATGCCTCACATCCACTTTAAAGAATAAAAAAAAAAAAAAAAAAAAAAAAAAAAAAAAAAAAAAAAAAATACATACGAATGGGAGAAAAGGTCATATTCAGGTAAATTATAATTAAAAGGAAAACTAATGGTCCAGTAATACTGGATTCAATTAAATGTTTTTTTTTTTAAACATGCATTAATGTAAATATAAACAGAGATAAAAAGACTACGTTGATAAAATTTATTTTCTTGCTGAGTTAACACCAGCTTATGTGTTTGCATTTTTAGATACTAGCACCAATATATCATTTACCTATGCCATTTAGAAAGTATACATTTGTTTCTAATTTCTGGTCATTAATTATTCAAAATTCATCAACTAAATTTCTGCTTTTCTCTTCTGTTTATTCGGTTTAAACAAAATTTCTCCCTGCTAGAATTTACCTGTGTTTCCAAACTGAAAATAAAAGTTTCAGCCCCTTAAACAAAACAACATATTGACAGCTGGGAAAAATACCTGTAATATAACTTTTGTCACCCTTTTTAGTCATTACAGCGTAAATACAAATGTTCCCCCATGATTTGCTGCTCACAATTTTCTGTTTTTGTCATGTCACTTTTGCATCTTCTTCCCTTTGCATAAATTTTTTTATTCATTAGTCTAATATTTATGTTTGCAGTTCTTTATGCATCTGCTGTGTGTTGGCACCTCTTGGCCACCGTAGATTTATGTCTCTAAACTGCATCGCGTCTACCCATCTGAATTCCACAAACCAAAACATTTTCTTCATTACATCACATTTTTCTTTAATCATCTCTAATTAATGTAATATTCTAATTTGATAAGTGCATCATTTACCCCATTTTGACTGCATACACCAAAGCTGCTACCTTGTCCGTTTTTCATCTCTACACACATAAACACTTAAAGGTTTGGAAGCACATGCAAGCATGATAAAAAAATAATACTAGCTTTGAATTTTAGGGTTTGGGGAGCTTTATAAAATTGCTTGAGACCTTTATTGTAAACTGAAACCTTAGACGTAAAGTAAACTGAAGTGTAATAATAAAAAATGCCCACATTTAGGTTTCTAAATCTTATGATGAACCAATTTAATTGCTTGTTTGGCTGCAATCCACAGATTACGACTATTTATGAAATTGAAAATCTTCATATGCTCTCATTAATAAGATGCATCCAAAAAAGCAGATATAGAATCCACGCATCTTCACTGCCATATTAACTGAGACCTTATAAAGCAGCAGATTATCTCTGTTTTCTCCAAAAAATGTGATGAAAGAGTGAGTGTTTCCATCAGGCCACATAAATCACCTCTCTCTCCTGCATCAGCCTCTGTCCTTCTGCAGCATACAGTCGATTAGTTTCCTCCAAGAAGCGCTGCTCAAAGGAGTCCTGATAAATCTGTTGCAGACAGAAGGAACATAGGTTCCATTAGGGCCATTTGTCAACAAGAGCACTGATGGTTCATCAATGCCCTGTGCAGAATAAAAACACAAACACTGCAGAAGCTCGTTTAATAGAACCAAGCTGCCCCTTCAGACACCTAAAAATATCATGCAATGAGATTTGAAGCTAAATTGTTACCTGGAGGTCAGAAAGCATGCTCAGCAGGCTCCTCAGCAGACTGCGGTCGATGGCCTCCCCGTTTCGCTCTCTCTCTATAAGGAGGAGAATCCCATCGATGGTTTTACTCTGGACCTTTAAGTCACTGATGATGTAGAACCTGAACAGCTCCAGGCCCATGTCCCTGCAGGACACAGCAGCTCTTACAGAACAGGCCTCGCAAGTAACCGACACCTGGCTAAATCAATGATCACTCACCAGATCGATGGCAGCATAGAGTTTTGTAAAACATAGGTGCGATCCAAAAATAGAAATATACCCCTAATCATGATCTGTAAAAAATATTAAAAAAAACACCATTTCAGCAAGAAGCAACAAACCATTTATGAATCTCAGTGTGGTTAAATGCCGACATGACTTAATGTTTCGGAATAACATGGGTATAAAAAAATTAAGCTTCACCTGTCAAGTTAAGAGTTAAAAATTTAGAAACAGACAATTTTTTTTTGCTTTGAATGTTTTCCCAAAAAACTTTGCATTAGTCCTTGTTTCCTATTAATTGTATGCGATCTTATTTTGTTAGCACTTTGTTGTTAGGGTTGCGGTTTGATTAAATTCAGCTTATTTATACAGCTGCAATTTACAACACGTCATCTGAAGGCCTTTTACTGAGACCATTCAATCAGATCATACAGTCAGATTGGATCCAAGTTTTCTATTAGAAGAAACCCAGCTGATTGCATCGGAATATGAACTATTAGGTTAAACAGTCCTTCATCCTGAGGATCATGAGAGCAACAAGACAGTTTGCGGCTAAAAGGCGAATCTATTAGACAGAACAGAGCTAGCACAGCATGCTTTTGGTTTTCTGTCACTTTTTAGTCTAAACGGCAAAAACGTGCTACAGAGGTCATCATCCCTCTCTTCAGGGTTCCTACAGCATAAGGCAAGTTAAATTCAAGACTTTTTAAGACTTTTTAATGCTACTTGAAATAAAAATTTAAGACCAAATTCACAAACTTAACCCAAAGGTTTATTATAACATAAACCACTGCACTAATGTTTCAAATTTTGAAAAGCTTCCCATACAGGAAGAAAGCTACAAACACACAAATGACAGATATATTTTACCAATTATTTACCTGAATTCACGAACTTTGTTTTAGCAGGGAACAAAACAAATCAGTTTTAAAGCCACAACATAACCAGTGCTAAGTCTTTTTTGCAGCTATTTTTCTTTGTATCGTTTTCTTAGTATGTTTGATTTGGTGATAAGTGGAGGCGTTGCAGAAACAAGGGTGGAACAAAACTGAGAAATACTGGCTGTTTCTCGGTAACTCCATTTTGACGCTTTGTGTTTCGCGCTTCGCATGTGACTCCACTGCCTTAATTCCCATCGTTCTGAGCTTGAATCGTTTCTTGCACAAAATACACTGTGCCTCATGCATGTCCCCTGGTACTGGTTTTAGCCATGGAGAATACTCTTGGCTGGAGCCAATTTTAGTTATATTTACACTTGCTCATATTTTCCAGACAAAAAGTTAATGGCATATGTCCCAAATGTCACGGCCGCAACAACAACGCTTTTATTGGTTCTGTCCCGATGTGTGAGGTTATTACACCCTAACATTACCTGCCTGTTGTGTGACACAACTACTGTTTTCCCCAGTAGTTTATCTAATTAGGACAGTTTCTCTGTCCAGATATACAGTTATCATCCTCATTCTAAATGTGTCAAAGATTTGGGAATGGAATGAGAGCGGTGTCCTTCAGCTAAAAACAAAGTGCGATATTTTAATAAGGCTGGAGGCATGGATGTCTCCTCATCTCCAAAACATGTATGATGTAATGATGTGGCAGACTGGAGATGTATAAAATGCTTCTCTAACTGTGAATCGTGGCCGCTTCACGAGATGTGAGCACGGTTGGTAAGCAGCTGCCTTCTGTAGCTCAAAGTAACTTCTCTGAACTAAACAAGATTACAATTTCTATCACAAACTCTGTTGTCATGTCTCAGGGTTATTTAAAGAGTTTGTCCCAAGTGATTTCTTTTCAGGAAAAATAACTGTAGAGAGAAAACTTCAAGGTGTAAATCCTAACAGCTGCTATTCTGGCTGGGTCTTTGCTAGGGCTAGAAATCACACATGGCTCATATAGATTGATGAAAGAGATGCCTTGAAATTCCTCCTCATCTCTCTTCTCCTTGCTCCTACTCTGCATCTTCAGTGCCTCCTATTCACTTTGCTACTTACAGAGCTATAGCCAAATTACTATTTCTGCTTTAGAGGTTTTAATAAGCTGCTCCTGGAACCAAATTCCCTATGTTTATACATGATAAATGTCCAAAAAAAAGAAAAAAAAAGAAAATGGCAGCAAAAAGTCTTCCAATTGCACAGCATCCAACATCAGAGGTAAAAAAAAGAAAAGAAAAAAAACAACTTAGGTAATAAGAAACCCTGATTAACAAATGGAGGAACATAAGAATAAAGCTTCATCTATAACATTTCCATACCTGTGCGTTGATTTAACTCAAACACTCTGCATTTACCAAAAAGAACCTTACAAAGCCATAAGATCATGGGGCCATGTCCAAATAATTAAACAATTTATGTAACGTTTTAAAGCACCCTAAGAGTCAGAACATATGTGATAAGACTCACCATTTGTCTGCAGTGATCTTGCCAGCACTTATCTATTTTCTTCAGGAAAAGCACACTGTCCAGGGCATCCGTAACAAAAGAATTAAGGAAAATAAAGACTTTTTTTTCAAAATAGCTGAGAAAAAAAATAATAATTACAATAACCCACAAAGTATAAAGGATATTCCCTGAACTGATCAATCTGTGCCTTGATGTGGTCTTCACACACGGTCCTTAGCTGTTTGTAGAGCTTGGCAGATATCTTATGAGAGCAGAGATTTTCAACAGCCTGGGGAGACAGATAAGAATGTTTAACATCCTGCAGACCATCAGCTACCCAGTGAGAGGCCAGCTGCTCCAGATTCATACCTGGTAGAGCTCCTCTAGATTGTACTTGATGGACGTGCTCTTCTGTATGGCCTCCACAGCCTCTTTCAGCTTTTGCCAAGTTTCCTGCGTGTAGTTCTCTGGTAACTTGGGCTTTTCTGTGAGGACAAACACAGCACACTCTTAACTGGACTGAATATGGATAGCAAAGTAAAGTTCAGCGAATACAAGGATGTTTATATAAGTTGTCACCCTTTTTATATGTATTTTATTAACATGGCTTTGTTGACTGTTGGATAGATACAAGCTGATAGTTTTTATTTCCCATAGCCCTGGCACTGAGCTTTAAATGTAATGGTTAAACACCTGTATTGTTTACTATGCTAAATCCCTGCCACTCTTTTTTTTAACTGCACATTATTCAAATTGACATTGATCAACTAAGCTTCAGCTATTTATTTTGGTCAGCTGTATTTAAGCTCTTGAACTCTTATTTCAAAAATAGTTTAAAGTTCTTCTTTACATTCCTCCTTAATGATTTCCATGCATAAAGGACATTAGAAGAAGAAAACATGTTAAAGTTTGGTTAAAGGTGAAATAACAAGATTCTGGTGCCTGGAATCACTTGGATCACATTTATTTTTTCAGAAATTTCAGCAACCAATTAGATTTGTGAAAACTGGAATGCTGCCCTATCCTTAATATAGCCCTTTATCTATAATATAGGATCAAATTTTGAAAGCAGGCTTTGATGCAGCAATACAAAGGATCAATGGCACCAATTTAAAATTAATTATACGAATTAAAAACAGTGTGAATTTTAGAGTTTTTTAGAAAATTTTATTGTTTCAATACTTTTTATAAAGCATCTTTGTTTGAGCACAGACATGCTTCCAAACTGGTTTTTAAGACGCACCAACCTGGCTTTTACTGACCAATTCCTAGTAATGGTTCCCCTTATATATATATATATATATATATATATATATATATATATATATATATATATATATATAAATAATTTAAGGTTTCATCTGGCATAAATAGGATTATTTTTATTGTTCTTTTTGTTTTTGACCTGCTGATCTATTATTTTTCTCTTAAAAGGAAACACTGCATAAAGCTGGAGAAAAAAAAGAAAACAATTCAGATTTTTCAGTTCAATCAGTCAGAGCTGAGCAAGGCTAAATTGGCAGATCTCAGTCTCTCCCCTCATGATATCCCACTTTTCTCATTTGACAGAGGAGCTGGCAGTAGATAAACTAACCAGAACCTCTGAAGCAGAATCCATCTCCATCCCTGTAGGGTTTGCTGCACTAAATCCTGGGAGCACAGCAGTTCTCAGATCCCCAAAACATCAGATTTTCCAAAGTAACTGATGTTTTATGCCCAGATTTTATATAGAAATGAATGCTGAACTGTTTAAAGGGGTGATGGGGAAGTGAGGCTATTAAGAAAATTATACATCCATAATGGGCTGAACATTTCTAAATTGTTCATCCCCAAAGATCAATTTTAAGGCAAATTTGCTACTTCAACCAAAATGATTTTACATAAAGACCAGATAAAAGTCCAGCTATATCCTCTGTTATTACAGGTCCCTAATGGAACATGTCAGCATACAGCGACGATGAAATGACAGGAGTTTTTACACTAAGCTTGAAAAGAAAACGTAATGCAAGTCAAGTGGGAGCTCACTATCTGATACTTTTTAAGTCACCACACACAGGTAACCACAGATGTAAAGCAACATGTGGGGGAAGGGCTGCACTACGTTACTCAATTCTGTCTGGGTTAATTCCACCCTTTGCTAAATTATACACCTATACACTTCATTGGTGCAAACATTTTCTACTTAGAAACTATTGCTGGTCACTTTTTTTTTTCATTTTCTATTTAAGCAGTGTGATTAATGACAGAGGCTGTCATCCATAAACCTTACATAATGTGTAGTTTTGATCCACGTTTGGGCCAATTGTTATTACCAAACATGTTCTAACTTCTGCAGAAAACAATGACTGTGAACGACCACCTTAGACGAGGACGATGTCTACAGGAGTCATAAAACTACTTTTCAATACAGCTCACTTTAAAAAAAAAGGTCGGATGACCATAGCTACAATATAAAATATATGCATAGAGATAACAAAAAGTTATAGCAACAGATTGGACTTTTCTTTGAATAAAAAATAAAAAAAGTATTACTATAGGTATAAAACTGTAAATTATAACAAAGTGTAGGAGCAAATTATCTTCTGTTAATAATTAACGTTTTTTTTTCTTTTTTAGCTAAGTTTATTTACTTTATTGTTTGATATCTGTTATGAGATTATGTTTTTGGTTATTTAGTCATGTTCCTTTGTTTTTGGTTGGTTATGATTCATTTGGGTGAATTATTTTTTTATATATAAGCAGTTAATGGTAGAACCAGCGTGCATCTGGGTGGGTGTATGGCTTTTTTACCAGTGCAAAAGAAACATGTAAAAAATGTTTATTCTGTTTTCATGTTGGAGGAGAAAATAAACTGACAAAACTAAAGGAGTTTACGTTGAACATTTTTTCTTTTGCCTGCATAAAATTAGTCCATGGTGCATCTGTGGCCACTTTTTTGTATCATCAAAAGCTGGGCCAAAACACAAAGGATTGAGGTATTATAATAATAATAATAATAAAAAAGCTTTTAATTAATAAAAATCAGAATTGGAAATTCAGACCTTAAAGGAAATTGGAAGTGATTGGCTGAACTCTAATCAAGGCATGGTTTAGGGCCTAGTTTGCTACTTAAGTTGAAATAATTTATAGTTTGCTGCTTTGGTTGAAATAAGTTAAAATCATAATTCAATTGTATTAAAAGGCTGCAAAGACATTAGATAGATTCCCAGTTTATAATCAACAGGGACTTATATGTGTGGTTTAAGCTGCTCCTGGCTGGCAGGTTCAATCCAGTTCCTAGTTCCCAGGTACCTCTGAAGTTCTTGATCACTAGTTTCTTGGCAGCACCAGGTTTGCTGCTGGAGAAGGTGCCGGATCCAGCCGTTTTGGTCAGTCCGTTCGCGTGGTGTCCCCCCACGCCACCGGCCAGAAACATGGATCTGCTTTTGTTATTGGAGCCCGACCCAGCGGCAGCAGCAGCTTCCTCAGCCATTTTCACATCTAGTCCAATAAAATCTACCGAATCCTCGAACCTCAACTTCTTCTGGATGTGGAGCGGAGAGGAGGAGGAGGAGGAAGAGGAGGAATGAATGTTCTTTGGAGGGGAGGAGGAGATGGTGTCACTCGTGTCGTCCCTCTCAGAGCCGTTTATTTTCCTCTTCTTCGGAGATGTGATGTTCCCACTGTCGCTTTTGACATCAGTAGCCGCGGGTCTAGCCTCCTGGGTTGGCGGTGGTGGGGGGTTAGGGGAAGATAAACCTGTTGGAAACATGAAAAAATGGGAATACTAATTCTTTACAGCCAGTCTTCTGATCCCAAACTTCCAGGCTTGTCGAGGGAAGAGCTCAGTGTCCGAGGGCCTCCGTCCGTCTTCGCAACGATAGTTTTTATTTATATTTAACGTTTATCCAGTTTAAAAAATATAAACATTAAGTAGAAACTACTCAACGCTTCTTTGGGTCTGGAGCCTCGTCCCTTTCTTGTTATTGCTGGCAGGAGAATAAAGATGGTTGGCTACTGCTTCCTCCTTTTTTTTTTTTTTTACCTCTTCGTCGTCTTACCGCGTCGTAAAGTAGTTCAGCGCGAGCGGTTTACTAAAGCAGTCGTTTGACGCAATTATTTATAAAAGTTATTAAAGTACAGCGCTAAGAAGCCCACATGGTAGTCAAACAGATGCTAATTTGCGACAGAATGGTTTCACTCGTTACAGGCTAGTCGGTGACCCCACCGGAAGTACTTTGTGTAAAAGTACTTTTTGCACAAGCGTGTTTTTTATTTTAACCACTCTGCTGTATTTGTTTCTACCGCAAGATGGCGCCAAAGAAGCGCGGTAGATTTAACCCTCTCTTTTATGTAAGCTACTTTAAGATATTTAAATAGTGCAATTCAAACTAAATTCCTATGAAAAACAAAACAGAACAAGACTAATTATTTTTAACATTTGAAAAATATCTAAAAGACAAAAATACATCATGCTGGATTTTAGGAGGGATAATTGAATAGAATAGTTATGTTGGCAGATATTTTATATATATAAGTAATCAGGTTTGTAACCAGAGAAACTGAACCCAGCTGTAGTAACTTTTAGAAACTGAACCTGTAATTGTCTCATAGTGGGGCAATGCTATGATTGGTGAATGGCAAATGGAAGAATACAGAGACGGACAGAGATTAAGCATATGAAAAAAAAAACGAGAAAAGGTGACTGCACGGTTAAACAAAATGACCAACAGAAAGAGCAAACAATGATAAAAGTGCAAACAGTGTACATATAAACATCTAATGGAAGCGTATAAAATCAAACATCTGCTGAGATGAGGGATAGTCGTCTGTATAGGAATCAGCAGTATGTCTCTGACAATTGAGAGACATTGTCCAGCAGTGATGTTAATTCTGTCTGGGTCCTTCTGTCCTCCAACAACTGCACTGTGTTGATGGGTTTTCCTGAATCCCTTCCTCTAAGCTGAAGATCACTTGATGCTGTTCCAGTATACTTCTGCGTTGGACGTTGAATTTAGGTCCTGGTCCTCAAGTATAAATGCCCTGCATTTTTTCCTTTACATTTTTCTGAGTTGCAGCACATGTGGTTCAAATGATTTTATGGCCTCCTCAGCAATCATTGAGTTCTAATGTATTGTTCATTTCTGTGAGGTGGGATGTGCTGCTATGTCGTATCATACAAAGGATTGTGGGACTCCTCATAGCTCCTTCATGCCAGTTATATTATTTTTTTAAGGAACTATATAAAGAATACAGGCTTTAAATTACTTAATGCCTGGAATCAGTGCAGTCCCATACCATCACACCACCATTACCATACTTGACCGTCAGTATGATGTCAGCATTTACAAGGCCCCGAGAGACATTGTCTAGAAATATAAAAAAAAAAAAACATGAGACATTGATAACCTTCCTGTGAGAGGCCAAGATTACACCGAACATTCAAGCAGAAAGTCACAAAAAGAACTGGAAAAACTGCCCAAGTACTGCAGTTATGTGTGTCAGTAAGGGTAGGTGTAATAATAGTATAGTGTGAAGTGAGCGTCATATGCATAGGAGACATCCAACTCCAACATGAATATATTTTATGATTTCCAAAACTTTTCTTCTGTTATTTCATCAGGTAATCGTTTTTTTTTTTTTATATTGAAAACTGTATGTTGATTTGTGGGGACAAATAAATAAGGCCATGTAGGTGTATTTGCTTTACGTATCTCACAGCTTAATAAAAATTTCCAAGACATTTCTTTTTTTTCCCTCCAGTGTACAAATAAATAAGATAAAAGCCTATAGGTATTGCTATAATCCATAAAATAAGCACATTCTTTCAGATTAAAGTCAATTATGTCAGTTGATTTCAATATTTTAATAATCTACTGTGTAGATTAGATGAGAATTAATCTAAAGGATATATATATATATATATATATATATATATATATATATATATATATATATATATATATATATATATATATATATATATATATAATGAAAAGGTCGCAGTATGGAGGAAAACACATCATATAAAGTATGATTTGACTTTTTAATTCATATTTTTTCTCTTATTAGAAGCCTTCTTTATCTTTTTCGGCGGCCGTTCTTGGCTATTTCGAAAAGAAACCGCAGCAGAAAACTTCCTTCATCTCAAACGCTGACAGTTTATGTCACCTAGGTAACGTGAATTACCCAGAGCGGAGTCAACTGTCGTAAATTCTCGCAAATCTCATTCAACCTTAAAAAGCAGCGTGGAAATTTGAAGTAGCAACAGTTAAATGAACTTTATTTACTGATTTTATTTATCAGCTGCTTCGCCCGACTTGATACCTTACGTTGGGAAAAGCTTTGACACAGCTGAAGAACGCAGCACCGGAGAACAGAGAGGATGTTTAAAAAGTACGTGTCTGTGTTGTACCGTTAGCTAGCAGCACACAGGACTAGCCACAGCTAAGTAGTTAGCAGTAGCATACTTGGTCTTGTAGAAAGAGTATTTTTAGTATTTGAGATCGATTTTGTTGGTATTAAATTGTCTTGTTTCCATATGCTACGCGAGATTTCGAGACAATAATAACATAATCAATTTAGTGTAGCCCAGCTAGCATGAAGCTAATCTCAAATGAACGGGTTTGAGTTGTTTTACTTTAACTAAGTGACTTTGTGTTACATTTCAACTGCCTTCAATTTTAGCTGCCTACTAACGTAACTAATATTTTGTCAAATTAGTATATTAACCCTTTCTTTTTTTCTTTCTTTGCTATTGTGAATATTTTGGTGCTACAAGAGCATAAATATGAGACTTGATTTTATGGGACCGACCCCAAGAGGGGAAACTTGAGGAACCTATCTATTTCTATTACTTCAGATGTAGTAAAATGCTGACATATAGGTCCCTGTTTTATCAAGTAAGATGCAAACTAATCAGCTTCCAAACCAGGAAGATTGACTGAATTCACTATGAATTAACACCATGATCAACAGTGGTGAATGCTTCCCTAATGTCCGTATTACGTTTCCTGTTTTACAGATTCGATGAGAAGGAAAATGTGTCAAATTGCATTCAGTTGAAAACCTCTGTGATCAAAGGCATCAAAAATCAGCTGCTGGAACAGTTCCCTGACATTGAGCCATGGCTCAATCAAATAATGCCAAAAAAGGACCCTGTTAAAATAGTGAGATGGTACGATCGTTCATTTCTTCCCATCGTTGTCGTCTTTTTTAAAACCGTAAATCTCTTTACAGTTTATCCCCTTTATGCGTTTCAGCCATGAACACATTGAAATCCTGACCGTAAATGGAGAACTACTTTTCTTCAGACAGAGGGAAGGACCGTTCTATCCGACCCTCAGACTGCTCCATAAATGTAAGCTGTCCTGATACCCCTCCTATTCTACAGTGTAGGTGACTATTTCTGTAAGTTCATTTCCTCTGCTTGCAGATCCTTTCATTCTTCCACATCAGCAAGTGGACAAAGGGGCTATCAAATTTGTGTTGAGTGGAGCGAATATCATGTGTCCAGGGCTCACTTCACCGGGTGCCAAACTCTACCCTGCTAACGTGGACACAGTAGTTGTATCCTTTTATACATGATGCTGCATCTTCAAGCCATTTATGATAAAATATCTATTCACTGTGATTGTAAACTTTCTCTATTGTCCGACATGCATTTTTAACCTTTGCAAGAATTCAGTAAAATATCCAACATGCTTTTTCTTTAACAAGTCCATGCAGGCTATTATGGCAGAGGGAAAGCAACATGCACTTTGTGTTGGTGTAATGAAGATGACAGCTGAAAACATGTGAGACTCGTAATCATCTACTAAACAAATCACTCTTTATGATCCTAAGTTTCTTATCTTTGTGTCACCAACAGCGAGAAAGTCAACAAGGGAATTGGAATAGAGAACGTTCACTATTTGAACGACGGCCTGTGGCACATGAAGACGTACAAATGATGACGTCAAGCACCTACACCGAACCGCCCGAATGCCACAAAAGATATTTTATTGTCTGGGAGGCGCAAGCAGCAGATCGACTGTTTACACCCACACACTTGGCTTTGTAACCTACTGGAGGCTGTAAATCAGCCGTAATGATGCACAAATAAAAGGTCCTGCTTCAAACAACAATCAAAATTTTCTTGAGTTTTTCTGAGGCTTTTATTTTTCTTATAGTAATGTCTGAATAATACAGCGACTAAATGTAAATAGGTATATCGTGACATTAGGTTTAATTATATCTGCAGCCCTGATAAACTGGAAATATCAGAAGCAGGGTTTCAGAGTATGACGTCCAGTCAGTTACAAACTGCAGGATCCTATTATATTTTCGGTAAAGGGAGTGCCGAGCTGGAGCACCAAGCAGCTGTTGGACTGGTTAGGCTGATATTATTGCATTCTTTAGTGGAAGAGAAATGATTGGACTTTCCTTTTAGGACTGCACTAAAAATATCTCTAGTGTTAACTGGCCTGTTTAAAAAAAAAAACTCACAGGGGTAGCATCAAATCCTCCATAAAGAGTAGCAACTACTAACTGCATTTACAGCAGTTTATTTTAATGAAGAGAATATTGCAATAAGACAAATGAAAATGATCTTTAGGTGTTGTAACTCGTCTCGCAGCAAATCAAAAAGTGAAAATGTCAGATGTCAAACAGAGTTCTATTAAAGGCATTCTTGTTGATTTAAATCTGACCACAAATTATTTTAATACAAACTTGTTGCGACACGAAGACCGCCTGCTGAAATGAAAGGTTAGTCCGGGTTGGCCTTATAGGGAACTACAGCTTACCTTTATTAATGGATCTGGTGTCTCTCATCCTCCTCTTGAAAAGACTTGATTTGAGTTTTATCTACTCTGCTGAGCTGTGACTCAATGGTCAACAAGGCTGGTATTGGTACCTTTGGAAGTGGCGGCAGGTACCAAATCCTGCTGAAAATGAAAACCTCTAAAGCTTGTTAGCTCTTAAAATTCCTGGCACCCTAAACTATCAGTTGATTTCAAGTGATGTGGATTAATGGCCTTTCATTCTTCTCACACCGAGACTGAAATCTCCAAAAAGGCAACATTCACTATGAGCTGAAAATAGGATATTGGACCACCGAGCAACCATACACATACATAGCCACTATATGATACTGATATGAGCTATTACTCAGGGGTTTCATTAATAGAAGGAGTGGGATGGTTTCAGCAACTTGGCAAACATCTCCAGACAGATTTATCCCTGCTGCCGCTTAATCTTTTT